GTTATGCAGAACACAACGCGCTCTCGCTAATTATAATTATGTTATAATTATATTATTGTATAAATCATATAAAAAATATATAATGTAAAATGTATAATAATATATAATAATGCTAGTGTTTGTTTCATATTAGAGCTACGAGTAAGAGATATTTCGTGAAATGTGTATGCAAGTTATGCAATTTCCATTCAAAGTCCTCACAGTGGCAGGATGCTGGCCACCAATCTCCTGGTCTTCGTTATGTAAACGGACAGTGTACAATGCATATACAGTTTTCGTATGTTTATTGTTACTTACCTTCATGTTGCCGCAATTTATGGATATTGTTCTGATTGTCGATAATCCGGACGATTTCACGGAAACTTTTTATGTAATGCTGGCTATGGTCATAGCTTGCTGTAAAATGTTCAGTCTATTACTAAATCGCAAAAATATTGAGATATTCACCGATACGTTGGTTGAAAAACCGTTTAAACCGTTGGAACCAGATGAAATTGAGATTCGACAAAAATATAACAACATAATACAGTAAGGAGGTTGGAACATCTTAGTGTCAGATAAAAGGATCATTTTAATTTTAGTTCCATGATTATCTCCATATTAGTATTTTATATAATCTTTAATATATAGTTGTATATAATATATATTTATATATAATTATTTTATGTTGTAGCATTTTCTATTTAATTAATAACATAATGAATACAAAATATACTACTAATAATGATACAAAAAATATATAGATAAATAAAGATCTTTTTGTTACTTAAGAAAGAAATAGGAAATATATATTTCTTCTTTTTTTTTAATTAAAGGAGGGAAATACAAAAATAAAGTCATCGCGAATTAGTCCAGCCTCCATAGTTATTTTGCAGGACCTATTCCATGTGCTACACGATTATGATCGAGACAACATGCGCGTGTATGAATTTGACATCCTTATTTACCGACTTCCGGAAAGGAGATTTAGCGTATAGGGAATGGTTACCTTACGAATGTTCCGGTGTGATATATTATTTGATATACTTCCGTCAAATAATAAGCTTGACGGCTGCATCCATCGTAAATGTTGCCTGCGACGTAACGATTTGTGGTTTGCTGCTGCATATTTATTGTCAGATAGAGATGTTAGAATGCCGTTTAAAGAAATCTGTGCGCAATCGAAGCGATTTGGGTGAATGTGCACGCCAGCATGATCGTATTTATAAGTTAGACTTTGTATAACTTTATATGTTTTAATTATGTTTTAGTCTTAAATTATGTATTTAATTTGAATTATTTTAGTATCTTTCAACTTTTTCTATTATTTTTTTACAAATTTTATCAATTCAAAAAAGATTAACTATAATTATGCTTATATTTAATCATGAGCAATAATAATAATTTCAAAATTAAGCTTAACAATATTTTTCTTATTTAGATTTGCATATATGATAAATGAGAAGTTCAAGTTTATAATCATTATTCAGTTTACAGCAAGCATGTTGGTAATGTGTTTTAATCTTTATCAACTTGCAAAAAAAACATTAAGCGCGGAATATATTCCGCTAATATTATATACGTTATGTATGTGCTTGCAAGTTTTTATTTATTGTTGGTATGGAAACGAAATAAAATTAAAGGTATTAAAAATGTGCAAAATTATATATATATAATTATACATATTAAATATATTTTATTAATATAATTAAAAAATATAACAATAAAATTCTAAAATGTATTAATATAATAAAATTAGATAAATTTAATTGTTTTATTTAAATTTAATATTATATGACACACACACACACACACACACACACACACACACACACACACACACACACACACACACACCACACACCACCCCTACACACATATTTATTAATGTATAATATATTTTATATATTTAATTTATTTAAACATAATATTTAAAACTGTAATAGGGAATGTTATATTTATAATTATCTTGATTTATCTTTATCTGACACTGTTACAGAGCATTCAATTTGCTGATAACATTTTCGGGATGGATTGGGTAACAGCTAGACAAGAAAATAAAAAATAAATCTTATAATAATTATGAATCGCTGTTTAACACCCATTGAATTTACTAGTGCTCATATTATTACAGTAAATCTGGATACTTTCGTAAAGGTTAAAAAAATTTATTATATTTAAATCTGTTATATTATATTTTCATAATTCTAATGAACATAATTAAATTAAAAATTGATATGTTTCTGTAGTTGCTTAAGACATCATATTCAGTATACAATATACTTACACACATGTAAGAGGAGAATAATAATGATAGTAAAAGGGGAAGAATGTATAGTTGTATGGCTATGCTTGTGCTAAAGAATATTATACAATAGACGTAAAAGTATCGATTATTATAATCATAGTTTTTGCAATTGCATATATTATAGATATAAATAAAAAAAGTTATTAGTCTGTATTTTTAGTTTGTATTATATGCTTTCACTCAAATTTTTCATTAAAAATTTGTTATAAATCAAAAACATATGTGATTAAATATATGCTTAATATAATTAAATTTTAATAATATTTATAAAATGGGCAATTTATATAATAAAAATTAAAAGTTTTTTAAAGAAAAATCAGTTATCAACGTAAAATGATACTTATGTAAAACGGAAGACAATTCTACAGATATAGTTAAAGAAGAAGAAAGAAATAAATAATATTTTTTTTAAGAAAATTGACAGCTGACAGATAGATTTGTTTAAAAATTAATTATATTTAACAGAGTGCTTTGCACATAGATATATGTATTTATTTGTACTTATCTTTATTTAGAAGACACAAATATGGAAATACGAGGAATAGAATAAATTACGATTTGAAATAACACGAGACTATGTTGAATACGTACTAGTAACAACAGAAAAAATAAAGTATCTTTTAGATGAATAATAACCTTCATCAAAATTGTATGAAGGCAAATCGTCGATGATAAGGGGACAGCGGAATAATGAAATTCCCGTATATCCATCATGTATTTAAATATCTCAGTTTTTTTTGCATAAAAAAATCATATCATCGTCGCATATCGTCGTTTACATTCGAAAAGAAAATTTCTGCTGGTGATTCAACTTAAAATATAAATATTCCGTCAGCTAAATTTCTGTATTATGATAATGACATAAGTATGGAATAAGAAATCATAAGTAGAAAAAAATCATCTATAGACAGTCTGATAAAGTGATGAAACGTGTCATGATATCTTTTCCTCATACTTCACCTGATCAAAATTCGTTGTACCAGTCTTCACAAAATTTCTAAACAAAATTTATTTAAAAAGATTTAACTTTTACGATTTTTATTTTTTTCATCATCATTTATTTTCTTTGTCAAGTCATAAAAAGTTTATTATATTATTTCAGTTTTTTAAAATTTATATTACTAATGTAAATAGAAAGTGAGCTTCTTGCAACTGAATAAAAAATTTTTCCTTTGATATCCAAAATGGATAATAATGAACAAATGTTAATTTTTGGTAATTCTAATGTTCGGAAAAATTATATTCGGCAAAATGTTAGACCGGAAGATAAGATGAATCTGTTAAAATATACACTCACGTTAATGATGTTTGCCGGATGCTGGCGACCGACGTCATGGGTATCCTCGTTCAAATATAAACTTTACAACGTTTATACGACATTTCTGATTCTTATGTTATATGCGTTCGCGATTTCTCAACTTATGGCTATTGTTTTAAATGCCGCCAATCCTGAAGAATTTACTAGCGTTTTGTATATGATGATGACCGTGTGCATCGCGATCTTTAAGATATCCAGTATGTGGATGAATCGTAAAAATGTAGCGGACATTATTAATATTCTTACCAAGAAACCATTTAAACCGAAGATAGCTAGCGAAATAAAGATTCGTCAAAATTTCGACAAAATGATACGGTAAATATTATGTTTAATTATATCTTTTTTATAAATATTTATTTGTATTTTATCTGAATTTTATTCGTAAAAATAATATAAGTAGTAAATCAATAATATTATAGTATTCGAAATTGTTCGTAGAGACAAGTGACTTGAATCTTTCAAATAAGTATTGACACTCAAAAAAATTAAAAAATATAGGAAATATAGGAAAGTAATACATTTTGTAATTAATTTTAAAATCATTTTGTAGGAATAATACATTAGCCTGTTTCGTCTTGGTCGAGACAACGTGTATGTGTATCGCTCTGACTTCTTTGTTTACGAACTTCAGGACAGGAACTCTAACGTACAAAGCCTGGTTGCCGTTCAATTACTCACCTCCGGTGTTATTTTCTCTCACATACACTCACCAATTAATAAGCATGGCCACATGTGCCTTGATTAATCTTGCCTGCGATTGTTTCATCTGTGGACTTTTGTTACATATTTGTTGTCAAATTGAAATATTAGAATATCGGCTGAACAAATCATATACTTGGAAAAACTTGCGCGACTGCGTATGTCATCATGAGCTTATATTTGAGTCAGTTTCGTAAGAAATTTTATTTTTATAAATTAAAAACAAAAAACTTATTCTAAAATTTGTATTTATAAGATATTTACAATTCTCAATCTTTAAAATTTTCCTATATTATGTTTTTAATGAATTATAAAAATTCAATTTTTTAGTACAAATTATTTATTGAAATTATGTAATTGATATATAATTAATACTTAAAATTATTTTTCTTTGAATTAAGATTCTTTATTTTTGTGTGCTGTATGTCAGAAATAAAATAGTGGAAATAAGTAATTTCTTGATATACTGATATTAAAAACATTTAAGATTAACAGAATTAAATATTTTATTTGAGATGATTACATACAAAGTTACATACATGGTTTTTTCAAATCAAAACTTGTTTATTGGATTGCAGCTTCGCTTCCATAATAAATGAAAGATTTGCAAAGATAATCGCTATCCAATTCATAACAAGTATGCTAGTAGTGTGTTCCAATTTGTACCAATTAGCTCAGATAACTTTGAGTGCAGAATATCTTCCTTTAGTATTATACACAATCTGCATGTTGATAGAAATTTTTATTTACTGTTGGTTTGGAAATGAAGTCAAATTAAAGGTATGCGTAAAATTAATATTTTACGAAAGAGTTGAATCAAATTTAATCCATTATGCAATGTATAAATATTATTTTAACTTGTTTTCTTGACAGAGTCTTCAATTGATAGATCGTATTTTTGAAATGGAATGGCCAGAATTAAATAACAGTTTCAAAAAGGCATTTCTAATGATTATGAATCGAACAATGATACCTATCGAATTTACTAGTGCACATCTCTTTTCCATGAATCTTGAATCTTTCGTAGGGGTTAATATAGAAAAATATATTATTTTTGTAATTAATTTGTTTAATAAAATATTGCACATATATTTTTTTGATTTAATGTTATATTAATCTTATTGCATATATATATTTAAATTTAATAATTTAATTCAATAAAAAAGTTTCATTCTATTGCATTATTTTACCAAAAACATTATTAAGAATTTCTAAATACGTATTCTAAATACGTTTACATATTGTAGGTACTTAGAATGTCATATTCAGCATATACTTTACTACAACGGATATAAAAGCAATATAAAGAAAATTACATATATGGCATATAATAATTTTATAAATAATATTTGATGTGTAAATAAATGACAAGTTAAAATTGATTGATGAATAATATATTAATAAATAATATAATTGATGAATAATATATTTTACAAAAATTAATAATCTGTTATAAATGTATAAATTTATTTATTTATCTTTTAAAAATGTTCAAAAATTTTTAAAGTGTTATATTTTTTCAAATATTTATACCTTATTGCAAAATTAAAACGTGCCAGAAGAACAAATTAGAGAAACATATTATAAATATAATATTTTGTAATGAGTGAGTACGACAATGTATCAAGATTTTATAAAAAAGATTTTATAAATTTTGTCTATAACATATAATCTACAAGTATCAGAATGGACTTCGTGGATCAGATCAATTCATGGAAAACAGCTCAGGTTTGCTTTCACAACAATAATGTTACTTTAAAAGAAAAATGTAATAAAAAATATTGCATTGCATAAGCTATAGCCATTGTAAAGTCTTTTTCTTCGATTTATTCGTAATTAATGCATGACAGCAGTGTTATCACGCAATATCAAAGGAATCTCAGAGTATCTCAATACGTTAACGCAGATTATATAATTGATTACAGTGATATATATATATATATATATATATATATATATATATATATATATATATATATATATATATACTAGATTAATTAGATTGTAAAATTTCTTGTATGGAAAAAGAAACGTATGTTATTAAAGAATTCGGAAAAGGACATTTCGTTTAAAAACCATGAGTGCTGAAATTTGCGATTCTTACAATCGCCGAATGCTGACGACCATTCTCGTCGACATCGCTGATCAAACATGCATTATATTATGCCTATACATTATTAATAATTAGTATAATGTACAACTTCACATTCGCGCAATTTATGGATATTGTGCTGAATGTCAATAATCCTGATGATTTTACTAATATTGTATATACTATGTTTGCTATAAAATATTTAATCTGTGAATGAATTACGAAGATTTTGTAGAATTAATTTAAATCTGACTGAGAGAACGTTCAAAACAGTACATTTGCCGAAATCAAAATTTGACGAAATTTTGATAAAATAATACAGTAAGTTCAAGATTATCTCTTAATTTATTAAATCATATTTTGATTTATTAAATTATGGTCTGGTTTTTAACACTTGTATGAAATATTAAATATAAATATGAATAAAATAAATATAAAATAAATTTAAAATAAATATAAAAATAAATATGAAAATAAAATCTTGCAGATACAATAATTATAATATTAATTTTTGAATATAAAATATTTAGAAAATAATATATATCTTATTCCATAGAATTTTTTGCATAAATTAAGCTAATATAATATAATTAATAATAATAAAACTTTTTATCTATTTTTAAATTATTAATACTTTATGTATTATTTATGTGTATTAATTAGTTTTCTATGTTAAAAAATACATTCTTTTATTATAAAATAAAATAAACTTCTGGCTTTCGAATTAAAGATAAAATTATTCTTTTTTTCTAAGAACAATGCAATGTATTACGCTATTTTGATCATGATCACTTGCGTAGGCCATGTCATGGTATCATTGACAAATTTCAGAAACAAGGAATTAACATTTAAAGAATGGGTACCATATGATTATTCGTGATATTTTGATATTATCGTAATATACGTGATATTTTGTCTCACATATATTCGTCAATATGTAGGCGTATTATCTGCATCTCTTGTTAATGTTGCTTGTGGCAGTCTCATTATTAGTTTGTTACTACATTTGTGTTGTAAGATTACGATTTTACAATATCGTTTAAAAGGTATGTAAATCGTAAATGGTCAGAATACTGTGCGTGACTGTACGTCAATATCATCACATAATCAAGTTAGTTTTGCGAAAAATGCTATTAGACTTAATTTTAGATTAAAATATAAATGTATATAAATCGATATGTTTAATATAGAAATAGGTAATTCAAGTATTACATTCAGATGGAATTTTAATTTCTACTGTTTAATATAAAAAATTCTTTCTGCAGATACGCATAGGCGATAAATGCAAAATTCACAAGAATAATCACGAGTCAATTTATAACAAGTTAATTGATACAAATTCGAGCACATTACAAATGTGCTTTCGTTTCTTTCCTGACACTCTTCTCCTCAACAGGACATTATGAAAGACACTGAAAAATTATATCTAGCCAATAATTCAGTAATGGCAACAATAGCCAGGGGCAACATTTCCCTTCGGATTCGTGAGGGCATGAGAATAAAAAATATTGATCTACGAGACGTCCTATTAGTGCCGGACTTATGCATGAATTTACTTTTAGTGGGCAAGATAACGGACAACGGATATTCTATCACGTTCGACAAATATGCGGCAAGAATTTTGGACAAAAATAGTAATCAATCATTGACAGCCAAACGAGTAAATGGTCTCTATTATCTCGACGTTGATAGTAGGAGGAGTGCAAAGCGAGCGTCGAAACACAAAGATCCGACGATAATCTGATTCAATGGCATCGTCGCCTTGGTCTTAACTTTAAGGATTTAACTAACGCGACACGAAATGGCGCTTATAAGGATTTAAACCTAAGACAAGTGTCGAAGAACCCGGAATGCGACATTTGCCCACGTGGAAAGATGACGCGGACTTTTTTCTGCAGAAGTCAAAGCGGACTACAACCACACTACAAATGGTGCACTCGGATGTCTGTGGGCCCGTACAGACAGAATTTCATGGAAAGGCTAACTACCTTTATCATCTTCATAGATGACCATTTTGTGGTGGGTGTTCGTTTCGTCGGACACAAAAACGAAATATTTAAAGAGTTTGTCAAGATCAAATCAAAAGGGCATAAAAATAAAATGCTTGCAGACCGACAATGATACGGAATATCTGAGCAACAAGTTCAAAGATTTCCTCAGACAAGGAATTCAGCGACGTCTCACCGTCCAACATAACCAGGAGTAGAACGGGGTTGCTGAGCGCCGCAACAGAATCTTGATTGAGATCGTGAGATATCTCCTCATTCAGTCGAACCTAACGCGATTATTTTGGGCGAAGGCTGTAACAGCGGCTAACTACATAAAAAACAGATGCTCATCAAAATCGTTAAACGGAAGGACTCCTTATGAATTATGACACGGGAAAAAATCCGACATCCTGAATCTAAATGAGTTCGGGAATAAAGTCTTTATTCTCGATAGATCTTCGAATAAGGGAAAATTTGACGAAGAAGGGCATATTATCGAATCAAAGGTTCCCAGAGATCGGAAGATAGAGGTCGCACGAGATATTAAGTTAGTTCGATCTAGCGACTCCAATGGCAACGAGGCGGCACAATCGTCAAACGACTCAAGTACGATATTTGCGCCAGAATTAAAATTCGAGGGCGAGCGATCGGGACTTGACTCTCCTTATATCGAAAGCGAATCAGAGCAGTGCGAATGAAGAAAATATAAACGAACAGCCGATTGACGCTGAAAGCACGCAATCGAGAAGAAGTTCCGAGAAGTCACGAAAAAT